TATAAAACTCGCAGAGTCATGAAGTTACACAAGCCATCGCACCATATCAAACTAAAGATAGTTAATTTGAAGCGCTGATCAGCAGTAACCTGGATCGTCATGGAGAATCTTAGTGGTGGAAACAGTACGTTTTACTTATCTAATAATAAAAAGAGAAACAAAGTAGAACGCGGGGAAAGAAACTAGTTAGGGTGAGTAGTTCTTTTTTTGGACAAGTATTGTGCGTGGCTAACACTCGTTTACCGCATCACGCTTTATCGTCCACTTCCCTTATCATGAAGTTTGCAATGAGTTGTTCGGACGATCTTTTCCTTATCCTGTTCTCCCGCTACTGATTCTGCCATTTGACACCTGTTCCTCCTCTTAGATCCCGTGCTTAAGCGTTCAGTTACGTTGATCTGATGTGTATCCTCGAATATTGTACTGTTCGCTTTCCCCTACCCTTGAAACCCTACACAATGATTCATTATTCTTCTTGTTGTCATCCTTCTAACCCACCGTATCACCATATTCAAATGCAGAAACAATAAGGTGATTCTACTTTTTTGTTTTCAATGTTTTTATCTGAGTGTTGGTGTGGTATACATGCTATTCATTGTGACTAACTATCCTTCAGAATTATTCTTCACTCGCATTCCTCAGTTCATCTAGTAAATCATACGCTCTGGAAGCTTGGGTCACGAGTTTCGTGTACGTTAGAGCTCATCAGGACTTGAACTGAGGACCCAACTTGTGGAAGCCTTATTTTACTACACACACTTGGACTGACCCAAATTATCGATTCAACATTGTTCAGAGGTTGTCTTCATGGACAACCATTTGTTGGCCCGACGGCTCCGAAGAGTGACAATGTGCGGCTCATCTAAGCATTCCATCAGATCTGGTCCCCGCAGCAGCTTCAGGTAATCATCCCCAGGTACACCCACTTGCTTAGACTCAATTTTCATTCTCGAATGGGTTTATTTGGGGATGAGCACCCGAACCGGCTAGGTTTACTTGATCCGACGGGAAACTTCGACTGAAGCTCATAGATGGTATAACATGTCTCTTTTCGGAACATTCAAATAAACAACTGATTGAGTATCTCTGTGTGGATGAGCAAACTTGAATCATCTCGTGTGTAATAAAACAAAAATAGATTGCCCTCGGCACATCTACTCCCTTTTGCTTCATTACGGTTAACTCCTTGAGGATTATGAGCTGTCTTGGCGAAAACCAAGAACTTTCACACGGAAGAGGTGAAAGATTTCTCCAGAGTCACGTAACCTTTTGTCATGACCGAATCTCGAACGTTTGCGTACCTAAGCGTGTAAGGGCATGGTGTCCGGTTGTTCCATAGGCGCTCTCTTCCAATTCAATAGACATGGATGCAACCCAGAGTTCTGTATTTCTGTTAGCGGAAGAAATAGCTGCTGGATCTACTTAACGCCCTATACATGCCAAACATCACTACCCTGTCCTCATCTTTCCAAATAGTTGAAGAGCTGGTTCCGCACTTGCTTTTATTGATTCTGGGTGCGTGCGTCATTGATGCCAAGCGGACTCAGTGTCAAACTGTCAATTTATCACTTAATGCAGGAGGTGTATAACGATAACCGCAGATTTGCTACGAACGATCGCTGATGCCTTTGATACATTCACGTGAATAGGCAAGTGACAAACCACTTTGAACCAGTAAACAATCTGATACAAATAATTCCACGCGTCTTTTCCTCTCAATCCCACTTTCCCGGTGTCAGTTACGGGTTTGTTGTTTCAGTTATCCTCATATTACTATTGGTATTTTGCAAAAGGCAAGTGTATTTGGTTGACTTTTTGGACTAACCCAGTTGGGATAAACACTCATTTTTCGTAAACCGATTTTTTCAGTGCAGTCTGTCTTGAGTTTATCACATAATTTTTCGTATTAATTTTGGTTTAAAGTGTTACGCTGTCACTAATCCGATCCGTGTTCAATGTAGATAACTGTTTATGTATCTTATTTCCAGTTACTCCGGGCACAAGCTGTAAAAACAGTGGATGCAAAGCGGTAAGTGTGTGGTTCTTTATTCCCATTGAAAGAAGTAACGGATTTGGTCATAGGTAACTTTGTCGTTCGGCTTATTCGCTGCACCTCCTCATACACCGTTTTCGTGTATTTATATATTCAATACGTAAACAGATACATAGTATTACCACATGTGCCACAGCATATGAAAGAAGAAACGTGGAAAAGGTTCCAATGCATATCAACGAATTAGTCTCGCAACAGGTACGTCGTCGATGCCAGTTTCGAGTCATGTCGGCTAGTGTATCGAGCCATAGATGTTCACCGCCTTTGGGAACCTAGACCTTCCTACTGCTTCCAGTTTTAAGATTAACTCTTTTATCGTTCGAGCCCAGGTTATCCGTTGCCCTCCTCATCGCCGCTTCCAGTTATGTCGGCTTGCTCAAACATAATACGATGAGGCAGTCTTTGGAGCGAGAGGGTGGCACACAGAGGACGACTAAAATTGTCCAAGACGAAGGTTCTTCGATGAATCTCATCGTGTATAATCAACATTTCCGCTATGCAGTTTCCTGTACCGTGCCGGAATCTTATTAGTGGAAAGTGCACTTATAATCTTGTATCGCTCCACGCGCTTCTTTGAGAACATAACGAACAAAGCTGAGAGAAAGAAGCTAGGCAGATCGGTTGGTAGTTCTCTGAGTCCAAAATAACCCATTTATGATTGCCAGGGAAACTACTGTCCCTTGAGAATTCCCGCGGTATGAATTTGAAATGGATTGGGACCAATCGCCACCGTGGTCAAGTGCCGATGTTTTCTCGATACTACGTAATCCGTGGGAGCCCGAACAACAGACAGAATACGGCAGCCTGATTTGTTCTTTCTCTCTTCCGATGCCCTCGTAATGTCCATTCCTGAAAAATCTAGATTGTGCGCAACCCTAAAAATACATAACGGTTCTCCTTTAATCTATGCACTGGTTCGGATGGGTATCGAGGTGTATTGGGTACCTTGGACACTATCCTGCCCGAAAGGCGTATGATTCGATAAACTGGACACTGATCCCCAATTGAATGTGGGTCAGGCCTCGGTTAGCCGAAGGCCCCGGTTGTGAATTCTCAAAGAAAATTAGCCAATCTTGTCTTGTGTAGCTTGGCAGTATTGCGTTTGCAAACAAATCATGGAACTTTCTTTTAACGATCATTGTACTATGATTTCAAAGGTGAATTCGTCGTGTATATAACAAATGAAGCGTGAACTGAAAAGCTAGGAAGCACTGGACAGCTGTTTCGACCTGGTTGGGTCTCATCAACAGTGCGAATCCATCGACCCAACTGGGGATCGAACCCGGGACCTCATGGGCAGAATGCAAGCATGCTACCCACTCGACCACCGAGCAGCTGATCAGACCATTTTTCATTTTCCATTTGGTACTATGATTTGTTTAGCACAGTCTGAACTCAGACGTGTGAAATGTAAACATATAATGTAATATGTGGAACCGCTTCGAATTTGGGAACCTGATAAGAAGTATGCTTAAGCATTATGTTTCCGTGATGTATACTAAGGCCCTGTGAGTTGAATATTTGCGTGATTTCTCTGGTTTGGGGTTAACAGTGTTTTGCACTCACAAGAATACAATTTTTTAGGATGAATCACTTTCGCAAAGTCATACTCGAAATCCGTCTGGTTTCTCAACACGGTAATGACATGCATCACCATCATACCAATTTCGTTCAATCTGGGTCGTGTTCATCGAGAAATTGCGTAAGAATACGGTGGGGGTAATAGCGTTCCATACGCCATTTCATACTTCCGGTTCCTAACCTGTGTCGCGGCCTAGTCTGTATGTTGCGTCATTATTTCGGCAGCCATTTGTCTTGGTTTCACATTCCCGAAAGCTGTCTGCCGTAGGTGTTAGGATGATTGGCCAGGACACACTATATTCTGTTTGCTCCTACTGAAACATGAAAGCCGAGTGATGGATTTCTCTCCGTGATCCGACCGAAGTATTGATTACCATATAATGTCGACAGATCTGGAGGCACTCTAGCCTGGTCATATTGAACACACATTTACCAACCGCTTCCAGGAAGGGATGAGCTGCTGCCATTCAGGCACTGCCCGGGGTCCCGTGTAGAAAAGAAAAGTTGGGCGCGGTGGTGTGATTCAAACACGCATCCTCCAGGGCGATGGGCTGGTGACTAATCGCTTGACCATCACTGTGGTTGATTCCGTGATCAAACGATGCGTAAGATGGATTTCCTGAGCTAACAGTGCCCGGTTCACAAAGTTGATCAAGGAGTTTTTACTTTTCAATGGACGAAGTTGAAACCAAACAACCTTTATATACATATTGCTATTCATATTCGCAGTACTGTGGTTTAGTTGGCCCCCTTGGTTCTCTACGTCAAACGCGCTAATTTTAAATATCCTTATCGGTCTGCATTTGAATTGCCCCTTTTTCTACTTAGACGTACACGGGGACTGATGCGGATAGTGAACTCTGCCTCTATCATCCTGGCGTCCCAATCTTTCACGAAGGGTAAGTTATTTGCCCTATTATTAGCTCCACCTCTCTGTTGTAAACCGATTCCCTCATAAAGGCAATTTGGATTCGCCGCTATCTTCGATGTCAGTTGTCTGCACACGGGCCTGAGAGATCGAAGTTGAACTAATATGAAAGTAGAGATATTCAAATATCTCGCTTTATCTTCTAATCCCGCACCAAAAACCGAAGTTAAAGTCACATTACAATTCGATAGCGCTCGCCTTCAAATTTTTTTTTACTAAAGCTTCAGATAGACGGGGACGATTGCCACGATCCACGTAATTCGAACATGTCTGAAACGCCGGCCAGATACGGTCTCAACACGAGCTCAGATGAAAGTGCTATTCCGAAAACTAATTGACTCAGAATAAACAAGAAAACGGTGAACAGCCCTTCAGACGAGGTTTTCTTTTTCATTTCTACTTCTATTGAGTACACAATTTCCATTAAGGGGAGAACACACGTCCTCCCGGGGTGATAGTTTGGTGACGTTACCACCGGGCCACCACTGCCCGGTTGTGTGATTGGCTCAAGCGAATTCACCTACTTTGGTCTGGGTAGCCTAACACTGTCGCGCTAACAAACAAATCGTGGAAATTTTTCTTTTTATAAAGTTTATTATACCGTGATTCGGCACGACTTAGGTCAACCAACAGTGACTTTTTCGATAACTTATAACTTCAAAGTTCTGTCAAAGCTGACCAATCAAGGATGAGCCAGTCTGGTGGTGCATTAGAAACCTTCGATAAAGTGAAAAAATATAACTTTGAATTTGATAAAAGTATTTCGAAAATATGGGAAAATAGGATCTTTTTTCCAGGGAAAGTGGGATTTTTTCCGGCCACTTGTACCCAGTGAGATTATCGACGTCCTGAGTCTGCAAAATCTCAGATCCAGTCCGCTAAATTCAACTTGGACTAATTGGGTTACCATGATGTTCACGACGGGGCGGACGGAATGAAAACTACCCGGGGATTGGCTAAAATACACGTGTTTGAGACACAGAAAAATAACCCTGGAATAATCTTTGTAGAGATTCAAAACGGTGGTAATTTATGTACTGTTCTGTCCAAGTCTGCTTTCAGTGAAGGTTACGTCGAAGAGACTCGTTCTGACAGTGCGAGAGAAAAACATTAAAGAATGCCAATTCTTGGAAAGATTCCATTTTAATACCATGTTCCGTTTGGGCCAAGTGAGCCATGATGTCCGTCCCTCTGGTTTTCGTCAATCCACGACTAAGTCAGCTGGGCTGGTGTTCTCAAGCGCTTTCAGCCAAGCGTCGGGTATTACGACTGATGTGAATGGTATCACAGGAACACACAAATCCGTGACTACAAAATGAGATCATTTCCACGGGTAGCTTATCTTGCAGTGACAATCTGTTTTGGAAGTATGAATAATGTTATCTGGATATCCATTTTCTATGAAAATGATTTTTGTCATTTCTACCTTGTATGAATCAGGTGTAGATATTCTTCCTGTCCTATTCACCGAGTAACATTTCCTTGAATTGCATTTCGTATATTTTTCAAATTTTCTCTGATGTTTGTTGCACCTCCAATATTACCGTACCTAAAACATCATTTGCGTAAAGTTGTTTAGAGACAACAACTAATCTGTCAGTTCTCACGTCTCTTCTAGAATGAAATTCTGGACCTGTTGTAATCGAAAGACCAGTGAATTCGAGGCTTTCATGGAACAGCAAGGATGCACAACCGGTCGGCATAATTGGACTGAAAAGGTTGGTTCCTCTATTAATGTTACAGTCTCATCAATAGCTTCCTTTTTGTTGTTGATTCTATATACCTGTGGACAACCAATTTGCAGGCAGGAGCCGCGACCATATAACGGTTGCCTAGGAAAATACATCGTTAAGTAAGCTGGACGATGGTGTCGAGGTTCGAACTCTTCACCTCCAGGTTGCGATTTTAATGGTTTTTGCCCGTCATCACCTGATGAAGTGTGGATCAATAACACTTTTCCATTGTGGTTTGAAATACCCTTGTTTACTTTTTGCTGACGAAGAGGTATCGTCTACTATTATCCACCTTTTCTCTATGATTTCGACAATCAAACTGCTTGCCGTTTTGGAAATGAGTTGGTTAAACTGGGTGGTGGTCAAGCGATCGAAGTCGCTATCACCAGCGTGCTTTCATCTCTAGTGCCCGAGGTTCCAATATCGCCACATCTGTGGTGGTAGGCAGTTTCGGTGTCGTCCTGCTCAATACCACTCCCAAACTAATGATTCGCCACCCTGAACCCCGGGTTTACATTTGCGGTATCCACGAGGGAACAACGAATCCTCGTGGTTTACTCATCTGCTTACTGTTCATCGCGGAAGCGTGTGTGATAGTAAAATAGACATATTCACTGCTTACTCACGAACTCCAAAGCTAATGAGAACAATAAAAATGGTCTTTTGCTGGTCGATCATCACGAGTTTGTACCTAGAGATGATGGTGAGATGTGACTCGCATACCTTCATGATTCTGCGTGCTATGCGAGATGATTTCTCACAGCCGTAGATTCACTCATGGGTATAGATCAGACAAACCCCATTCACAACAGCAGCTGACCAATCACTTTTTTACCGCCTAAGTTGGATAACTCCCTGGTTATAATGTGCTGTCTCGATCTTGTTCGGCCTATCTCACACGGTACACGAGGCCGAAGTTCGTTCCCGAACGACGGGATGGCCATTAATGTACTAGATGAGAAAATACTGAACCGACACCTGAAGGCCTTGTGCGACAGGTTTCTAGAAAATCCCACACGAGTGCTTCGGTCACACGCGCTTCAGATCCACGCCCACCGTCTTGTGGGTCAAACTTTTGAGTCAAAATCTCCGACAATGATTCTCAGGAAAATGACAGTTTAGGTTACCGCAACGTCAACGGCGAACCAGTAGAATATTTTTAACATTCAAATATGTGAATTTCATAATTGTCCCAACTGGCCAGGAGAGACGGAGTTCAGGTGTGTCAAGACAATTCCAGATCGAAACGCATCCTCAGGTATGACGTTCTCAGTTTGCATTTTTGTCAGAAGGATCACTGAGTCTATTGATTTGTATGAGCGGAACACAGTACATTGGGTGGCAAGCGGTATTGATGTTATTGTAACTGGTCAAATGTTATTTATGGATGCAAGTTAAATATAGAGAAGAATATGAAGGTACCGATAGGCTTCCCAATCCTGGTCGGTGATTCTCCACAATGGCCACTAGGTCAGTGTCAGCTATTCTTTAGGTTTCCCTACCCCATCGTGTGGTACAAATCTGTCATGCTCGCTTGCATCACTGATTTCGTCCATTCGTTTAATATCTCTCTGTGTGTTGTAGGCTGCTCGAGAAACCAATCTTGCCATTTCTGTGGCACAAAAAGCCGTTTGTCGACATGATTGGTTCCAGTTACCCGGTCAAGTCACAGTGAGCATTTATGCAAAAGCCACCCTTCCGGATACTGTGGTCGTGGAAGCCAACCAGACTCGTTTGTCTGTTCGATTCGATTTCGGCGCGGACAGACAACATTTTGAACAAACATTTGATCTGTTTGGGGTACGTGTATTCATTCGTATCTAGCAGCAAGCTGTCGTTGTATTCGCGTGCCTTTTATATTAGGGCTTCAGTTTTCCTTTATCGATTTTTTAATATGCTCACTTTGGGAATCTTTTTTATAATTCCGATAAATTCGACCTCTGTTGTTAGTTCCATTTACAACTGAAAAATTATGTTTTTATGCTATACTGGTGAGATTCCGGACTCCCCCACTTCGTACGGATACGATTTTCTTTGAGATGCGATATCAGTTGCTCTGTATTGTGCCTAACAAGAGGTTAAATAATTGTATAGATAAATTAATGATATTTCATATTGATACTATTACATTATGTTGCGTCTGTATTATAATGAATTTCATAGTGCAATAACGGGAGAGCAGAGCTGTATGCCACCGAACGCGTCCCCAGGTCGCGGATAGGGGAACGGCCGTCAACTCACGGCTAACCGTGAATAGGATGGGCTTCCGCCCACCGAATAAGCGGTCGCGGACAATCAACGGCAGCGCTCGAGGATGTGGTGGGTTTACTTCGTGGCCAGAGTACTCCGCACAAAACACCACACATATCTGTGGACGGCGCTCTG